ACCCAAATTTAACTTTTCACATGAAAATGACAAGCTTAATGTAGTTCCTGATTTAGGAAGTGTATTAAATTCTTACTTGACCCTTATAAACAGAAAATTCTATGTTTAGTGACTAGCCAAATTTTGATAATTTGATTAGAATTATCAAAATAAAGTCATGACTCCTATATTAGTTCATTTTCATACTGCTGTAAAGAATTGCCTGCAACTGTGTAATTTATTAAAAAAAAAAAAAAAAAAAGGTTGAATTGATTCCCAGTTCAGCATGGCTTCTGAGGCCCCAGGAAACTTACAATCATGGTAGAAGGTGAAGGGGAAGCAAGCCACCTCTTCACAAGGCAGCAGGAAGAAGTGCAAGTGAAGGGGAAAAGAGCCCCTTACAAAAACTATCAGATCTCCTGAGAACTCAGGGTCACAAGAACAGCATAGGGGAGCCAGCCCTCATAATTTAGTTGCCTCTACCTGGTTTCTCCCTTGAAACATGGGGATTATGGGATTATGGAAATTACAATTTGATATTTGAGTGGGGACACAAAGCCTACCTCAGTCAAATTCTGGACAAATCCTGAAGGTATTCTTAAGTACCTGGAAGGAGGAATTTAAGGGGTTAGTTACCAAAGTGACTAGTTCCTCCTGAAAGCCTAGACTACAAGCACATTTGGGCCTACAATTGCTCCCCCTTCCCTCTCTCTCTTTCCTTCCTGACGCTGAGCTTGCTTAGTGAGTGACTACAATTGTGTATTCCAGTTCCCTTATTATTACTCTGTTACTACTTATCCATATTTAGCAATAAAAGTTAGAAATACATGTATATATCTATTGGTTCTGTTTATCTGGTTTCTCTGATTGAAATCTGACTGATACATATTTAAAAAGATTTGAGACATACCAGGCAGTTGCAATACATTTATTTAATTAGGGAAAAGGTTTGAACAAAATGTAAAATAACTTTATAAGACCAGCAAGGAAATTTAAATACAGATCAGATATTTGGTGATATTAAGGAGTTTTTGTTAATTATTTTCAATCTAATAATAGTATTTTAGCTTTTTAGTTTATAATATTTTTAGAAGAAAAATGATGTGACAGAATTTACTTCAAAGTATCCTGAGGTAAGCGTTACAGAGGAAACAAGATTGGTCAGTTGATAGTTTTGAATGTGGGTATATGGTACCTGGGATTCATGATGCGATTTTATCTCTTTTTGAATATTTTCAAAATTTTCTGTAATGGGAAGGTAAAAGGAAAAGCTAATGTATTTTTACTAATTTTTCTACCCCCACTACAGAATTAGTCAGGACAGCTCTACTCAGTCTCCCTCATTCTATTGTACAAATAAACATACATACACACACACACACGCGTCTCTGTAATATACACATATGCACATAAACATCCAAATGAAAATGGTATATATTTACAAGTAAGCTCAACTTGCTCTCAATTCTATGAAATGATACATGGATACAATAATTTAGAATTATTTGATGTAAATTAGACACTCACAACTTAGCATGATTATGATGATTATGACTACATAGGGAAACCAAAAGGTTAAATATCAAGGCAAAATCTAGGAATAATTATGGTAATGTTTTTCACATCGAAATGGTTTATGGTAATGTATTTTTTTAATATACAAGGTGCAAATTTGTTCTTGTACTTATAAATACAAATAACCTTGTTATAACTTTTTATTATTTGACCTATAATAAACAGTGGAAATAGCAAATTGCATTAGAAAGGAGCCTTGACCAGAGGCATTAAAAGCTTATCTGGAAGTCAAAAAACAACGCTTATTTGAGTAGTGGGAAGTAAACAGATAAGAAATCTGAATAATCCATAAAGCAAACTATTCCCTGATGCCATTTGTGTGTTTATTATTTATCATTTGAAGCTGTATTATATTTATAATGTCTAATTTGTTATTCCTTCAATTCACTTCATCTTCCCGTATACAGTACTTTTTAATGAAGGAGTTATCAAAATGATTGTTTCCATGTTTAATGTGAAAATATACATTAAAAATTATATTCTACCACTTCCTATGTCCATTTTTGATCTCTGGTCTTAGCTCTAGCTAAGAATATCATGGAAGATAAAAGATGTTAGGATGTACTAATTTATTACACCACAATGATAGCGTTAAGAGTAAGCTATGATAAATATTTCTATTATTTACACATAGAGGAATTGCAAGGTCAAGATATCTTATGCATCCACAAGATCTTATGGCTAAAATTGGAAGGTCTACAACAAAAAGTCATAGCTTTTGATTATTATTAGGGTGACTATATATTACTCTAAGTTAGGACAATGTTGAGAGTATTAACAATTGTTCTGGGACATCTGGCATGGGCCAGGACAATTTCGGGGCAAACAGACTTGGAGCCACTCTTGGCTTTATCAGACTACAGTTTATGTGGTATACAGCCCAAGTGATTTAAAGTTGGTTGACAAAATATATAAATACTATGCAATTATTGCTTTGTTAGTCTACTTTTGCAGTTCTTTTTTCTTTCAAGATATTTTTATCTTCTTTTTCTTTTATATGTTAACATCTTTATCGTTCATTGTTTTACTCCAGAAATTTTTCACATCTGAATGATTTAAAAGATGAAACTATCACATTTTAAATTGTAGTTCCAAAAATAAGTGTTTTCAACTGTAGATTTTAATGAGTATTATTGTTTTTAAAATGCAAAAATACAGACAGTAAGTATATTGAATATATTCCTTACATTAATCTTGTTTTCCTTTATACTTATTTTTTGTTGTGCCTAATGGGACATCTTCAAAATGTGTACTGCTAACTTATTTAAAAATACATGGTAAGGTACGTAATATGTACTTTGATTTTGATAAATTTCTTTGTTAGATTCTACAAATGGTACAATATATACTAATATACCAGTTTTTCAAGACAAAGAAATTTTCAGAGCATCTATCAAGTCTTCTATAAAGATGAGAAAATTAAAATTCAGAGAAGTTACTATAAGTCACAAAGTTAGTATGTGGAAGAGTCAGAACCAGATAATCAATTCAAGGTCCATTTTTTAACTATTTTGAAATAATTTTAGGCTTAAAGAAGAGTTGAAAATATAGTAGAAGTTCTCCTATATCCTTCATCCATCTTCCCCTAATGTTTACATAACCATTGTACAATTATCACAAAGTTCTTTTTTATTGAACTGTGTAGTCTTAGTTCAGATTTATTGCCTTTAAGTCAAGTGTGTAAAGTATGCAATGATACATTTCATAATATTTAGAAAAAGTGCTAGAAAAATTAATGATCCATTAGAAACCAAGGAAGCATATTCAGTGCCAAAGAGTTTAGTATTCTTTCTAATACTAACATATCTATTAGGATAACATATTTACAAATGAAATATTAAGATTTGGGGACTTTGAAATAGTATAGAACACATTTATGTCTCTACATAAATTAGTGTGAGCTTTCATACTTTCATAAACATATCCACCAATAGTGAATTTATTAAGTACAGAAACAGGAAAATTTTAATTTTTGACAAGGTAAAGTTCAATAAATACTTTTTCTATTAGTGAAATCGTAGAAAAGTATTTCTAATTAATATGTCTATTTATAGAACTTGTTATAAAAGAATTGGGATAGGTTGTATATCTTTGATTATATATTTGCTACTATCTTCTTTGTGCTACATTGAACAAAAACAATAACAACAGAAAATCAGAATACATACATTGATTTTTCATGCCTTATATCTTAAAAAACTAAAAATTTATTTGCAAAGAGCCCAGAAAAAAAACAAATTATTCAGGCTTTTTAGACTCAGTGCTTGGTTACAGTGTTTGAATCGTAGAAATTATAGCCTTCTTTTTTTAGTACTTTATGCCTTCCAAATTATTTTATTATCATTACTATTTGATTCCCAACAATACCTTGTATTAACAGTCTTCTCATTTTCTTTTTCCCTAAATTTATGTTGATACTTGTAACACAGTGGTAGAGCCTCACTCATAACTCTGTGTTCTATCATTTTAGTGCCCACTGGCCTAATTTTCCATAGCAGTGGGGATATTCTGACACAATGAGGTGTTAATTCCCCAGCATTTCTAGTCTCTGTAAGGGCAGAGCAGACTCCAGTGGCCAGAGAAAGTGCTCAGAAAAAGATGCAGTGTTGGCAGTTGAAGACTGGCCAGCATAAATTGAGTTAATGTCACTGGGAATAGATCTCAACCAATGGCTGAAGGGAGCTGGTATATATATACCTCAGCTTTCTCACACTTCCGGTGGGATAGTTCTAGGGCTAGTGTTTTAAACTGGCTCCAAGAAAATCAGCGAGATTAAAAACAATGACAACTTGCTGGTAATTTACACTTCTTTGCGTTCCTTCCCTTCCTTGCCTCAGTTCCCCATGTCCTATTGTGCTTCCTGAAATTATTTCCAAAATGCAGTATTTGCACTTGAATCTTTAAATCAGGGTCTGCTTCTGGTGAGACACAAATTCAGAAAATGTTTTCCCAAAACATTGGTTGAAGAGACATTCAAGTAGTGGGAGTATTTATGTTTTTAGTAACAAGACTGATTGTAGGAAAAGCAGGAGCATGGAAAAAAGTGAGTTTAGGAATATCTGTGGATATCAACTATTTGTCCTTTGTCTTGAAAGCCAATCATTGTTACTGAAAATAGATAATCTTATGTTTATGTTACTTAGCCTGAAACGGAAGAAAAAGAACTGTCTCAATGAAAGACAATAAAAACTGGGGATTTTGTTCTTCGTATTAATACCATTTTCTATCATTGTTGCTTGTATTTATAATTAACACAAGTTCTATGGTGCCTTAAGGTGTTATGTTATTAAATTAGTAGAGCTGAATTGCTCTGTTAATTAAAGAATAAAATTGAATTTCTTTTTGGAGAAGTAAAAAGTCAAATGCTTCTATTATATTTTTGAAAAGTATGTTATAACAGTTTATTTGTAGCATAAAAGGTATATACCAAATAATAAACTGAGATCTACCATACATTTTTATTTCTTCAGTTTTATTAACTGGTACAAAATGCAGAAAACCAAAAGTAAAATGTTTATTTTGTGTCCATTTAATCAGAATTGTAGAGATATGCAATAAGAATGATGTGGAAGTATTTTTTTTTAAGAAAACAACAAAATATACTAAAAATGGAAGCTAAATTACAATGTATTCTCTGATAATCTTCAATGTCCAAATTATTAATAGCTCATAGCTGACTGATACTTAGATGTCTGGCTATGTCTTGGGATAGTCTCTGGGATTCCTGGCATATCATAGCCAAGTTACTGTTCAGCATCCCATCCACATCAAAAATTGTATCTTCCATTTCTGGGCCCCATGAAGTGATAGGTATAATAGTATTTAAATATTAAGTCTGAAGAAAGAAATAAGAGAAGGGTCAAATAAATACTGTAAGAATGCAGTGTGAGTTTCATTTAATAGCATGTATCTGTATATTTAACTTATAAGCTCTTTTTCAACTTAACTGACACATGGCAATGGCAAATATTTTCTAAACTATGTTAGAAATATTTTATTTTTAGAAAATTGTTAAACTAAGGTTTTCCAGTTCTAACCTGTCTTTCCCCAATTCAAAATACATTCTACTGAATACTTTGCTCAAGCTTTAATGTAATATGTTTGAATTATCTGTCCTTCAAGTCTCTTTGTCCACTGTCTTTTACTGTTTCAAAACAATCTAGTGCCAAATACTAGCCCTTTTGTAATATTTCATTTAAAAATGTCCTTTCATAATTTTGTACACTGAGCACTTTGTACAACGTCTGGCATCAGCCTTTTACTATCTTGAAAACCACATATTTATTCCAAACTCTTTTTCCTCATCACAGCTCCATTTGTACCCAATTGTATGTTTAATTCCTCTTTATTTTGGTCATGAAGACTATATGGTGGTTTCCTATTACATTACACATCAGATCAAAATTTTGGACTTTGGTTAATAGACCGTTTTCCAATATGCACTAACTTACCTGCTTTCCTTTTCTTTCAGGTGTCAGCATACCGTCTTCGCTGATTGAGGCAAACGTGTTTTCCACAGTCCAGATGAACTTTTAGTCCCAAACTAAACGTATTCTCTTCCTTATTCAGTAGATTGATATCTCTCATTACTTAAAAACACCAGAAATTCCAATGCCTTCTAGATGATTCTTCCAATAAGGATGCTATGAGGAGCGTTAGTATTCCTTGTTATTGCTTATTTAATCTATCAGGAATTAAGTTTTATTCTATTCACTTTGGTTATTGCCTCAGATATGCATATACTCTTTGTTAGAATATCATAATTACAGTGAAGTTCCTTCTTATGCTAGCTTAGTATGAAAGCCATCTTTTTGGTTGAATTGTAGTGGAAAGTATAGGGAAGGAATATCTTCATTCTACAAATCTAGTGAATATGTTGATACCTTTTTACAGCTTAGAATACATTGCCACATAGTCTCTCTCATTTGACTCCCAAGAATGGTGGAAATCGGTTGGCGTCGCAGTCCCTATTTTGAGTGGGAGGGAATCCGGAGCTCTAATGTATTGCAATATTTAAGACAACAGCCTTTGCAGTCAGGAAGACCTGAGTTTGAAATTACTACAATGTTTATAACTGTGTAACTTTGGGTAAATTTCTACTATTTTTAAACCTAAATACCTCATAAAATGGGGACAGTAATAACTACACGACATACTGCATGTAATTGACACAGCATGCAAAGTGGATTGTTTGCCACGTGGTAAACACTTAATAAATGGCAACACGTTAAGAGATTTGCCCAGGATACATTTGTAGAACAGCCTGCAAGGACGGAAAACCGAGAAAGATTTCAGACTCCGAAGCCCATGCTTGTTTACTACCCTGCTTCCTAGAACACTTGAGTTAAACTACTAACTTGATAAATGACCTTGAGCAAAATACCTCACTGAGTCAGTTTACTCATCTCAAAAATAAGGGACTTGATTTAGATAACGCCTAATGTCCTTTCAGAGTCTATTCCAGCTACATTAGATGTTTTTATCCGGTGTTGTAGGGTTGACGTTCAAGTCGGTGATGTGTCCAAGATCTGTATAATCATAAGCCGTGCACATGGCAATGAATTTTATTCCGACACTCGTGTTTCGTTCAATATTTAGTTCTGTGTGCACATTCAGCTGTTGCCTGTCTTTAGTCTGCCTACCAGCGCCTTGTGAAGGGAAGACCCACACCTAGCTTTATTTATTTATATCCTGGCTTGTTCCCGAAAGGATTTAAGGCGGCGAGTGACACTCTAAGTCCCCTAACGGTGTCACACAGTGCGATTAAGAAATCTTCTTTGGATGAAATCATCGCGTAGAAAATCGCCGATGAGTGAGATGCTAAGTAATGTCTTTTACCCAACTCTTAAAAATAAAAACTAATGCACCTAGCAAGAAGTCCTGGAAGCATACAGTGCTGGCTGTCCCTCCAGCTGTGACGCTGTCCCACCCGTGGTCAACGGTCACTCGAATGCCCTTCTTAGACTAGCCAAAACTGTCGCCGGCTCCAGTACCAGCTGTACCAAGATCCCACCCCGCCCCTTAACGGCCCTTCATCACCCAAGTTTCCTGATTGGGAAGGGGCCCGAAGAACCTTTCTCACATTTCCATGTTATTGGCTGGCCCGGCTGTCAGTAATCTCTCCTTCCCGCCTTCTAGCCTAGCGCGTTTCGTGGACCCCTTAGTTTCTGCGACCAGCCGCTTACGTTTGCCTGAGCCGTGTTGCCGGGGACCGGTGACCTTTCACCCCTCCCTTCCCACAGGAGCACCCCGGCTCCCGCCCACGCCCCCGCCGCCGGCGCGCGCCCTCCCGGCGCCCGCGCTCCGCTCGCGCGCGCGCGCGCACTGATCCGCGCGCACACACTCCCTCGCCCCCGCCCGCGGTGTTCCCCCTCACCCGCCAGCCGCTCCGCCGGCTGAGGCACCGGCGCTGGGAGGCGGCGGCGCTGCTGAGAGGCAGGGACCCGAGCGCGAAGTGTGTGGGAGTCTACGAACTCAACCCCTCTCTACCCTCCCCTTGCAGCCACCCCCCTCCCTCCCCGCCAGCCCCCCCCAACAAGCGGGAGAAATAATGAGCGAGACCGGGCGGCAGCAGCAGCAGCGCCGAGCAGCCCAGGCAACGGCAGAACCGCTCCGGCAGCGGCGGCGGCGGCAGCACCAGCAGCGGGAGCGAGCGCAGCGCTAGCGCGGCGCGGGGACCGCTGCGCTCCTTCCCGTCTCCTGCCTGCCTCTGCCGCTCGCTCCTCTCTCGGCATCCACCTCCTTCCCCTCCTCCTGCTCATTCACTCTTTCCCTCACTCTCCCCTCCTCCTCGGCTTCTCCCCGCGCCCCGCCAGCCCTCGCGCTCTCCCACTCCCTCTGTCCGTCCTCCCCGGTCCCCTCCTCCCGCTCATTCACTCGCCCCTCTCCCTTCTCCACTCTCTCCCCCTCTCTCCTTTCTTCTTCTTCTTTCACCCTCCGTCTCTCACACCCCCTCCATTCCCCTGTCTCCTTTCTGACACTGCACTGCAGCTGCTCCTCAGCCCTGCCCCCTCCCCAGTGAGAACAAACCAGCAACATTGCTTTTTTTCCTAAAGAGATTTATATTGATCCGATTAAAAAAAAAAAACCTTAAGAAACCCCAAACGCAAAAAAAAAAAAAAAGAAAAAAAAAGAAAAAAAAAAAAAGAAAAGAAAAGAAAAGAAAAAGCCAAAACAAAAGGGAGAACCTTCTCCCGGTAGCAGCGGCAGGAACTGCAAACATGATGGCGGCAGCTCCCATCCAGCAGAACGGGACCCACACTGGGGTTCCCATAGACCTGGACCCGCCGGACTCGCGGAAAAGGCCGCTGGAAGCCCCCCCTGAAGCCGGCAGCACCAAGAGGACCAATACGGGCGGTGGGTATCGCTTCCACCTCCCCGCTGGCCCCATCCCCCGCCGCCCGCCCCTGCCTCCCTCCCTCCCGCCGTCCTCCCTCCCTCCCTCTCGCGGCCCGGACACCTCCAGCCCGAACCCGGCAGCTCCTGCGCCCCTGCCCCGCGCCCCCTCCCCTGCACCTGCCCCGTGCCTAGCTGTTCCCGACACATTTCCATTTCTGTGTTTATCATTCATCAAAATGGCGACCAGTTTTTCGGAATAGACCTATCTTTCCATTTAATCGGTCCAGAGGTTGACCACGTAAATATCCTAGACCTGGGCAAGAAGGTCCATTCAGGAGGAGGAGGAGGATGACCCCGGAGTGAGGTGATGGCCGCCCGAAGATGCGCGCTGCGTTTAACAGTGTGATTAAATAAATAAATAAATGGCACTTGGGTAGCGGATTACGAATGATTGGGGCGCCGGAGAGTTTTTCCTCTCTCCAACCTCTTGCTTTGGGCCACAAGTAGTATGCAAAATCTTGATTAGTGCATGCCCTTACCGCACTTAGATAGTCGGTGCAAATATTTCATTGATTTGTCTTCAGGGGGGTGCATACGAGGGTGGAGGTGTCTGGAACGGTGACTTGTTAGTTAACATCCTGCGCTTCCTTGGAAGATGAGTTTTAACGGGACTGATACCGCTTCTTCATTTGCACTGGAGTCATCTTAACAATGCACCCAATGCATCGAAGCAGAGGTGAATTTATCTCCAGCATATGCATTGTAGACGGATGGGGGGTCTTGTGAGTGGCAACCGCAACATTTGGAACATTCATTCACATAAGAACGCTGGATTTACCGGGGTGTCTCCAGTATAAGACGTGATCAAGTTGACAGAAATTAAAGTTTGTGGAGTTGGCTTTATTTTCTAAAACATTTCATTTTCTTTTTCCTGGTTCTTCGACCCTCTCTCCGTTTTAAAACTTGTGATTATTTTGGGAAAGGACCATTATCTGTTTTGTCACTTTTAAGAGTATTTAATATAAATGACTCCTAAGCTTTTTAGTATTGGCAAAATTCTTCTTAAGGTCCTTTAATTAATGAGCTTAGACGAGATCATGGTAGACTAAGAAGTGCTAAAGAAATGCACTAGGATTAGTTAGATTTGCCAGTCCACCACACTGAGTTATTTTCTGACAGTTATTGAAGACTTGGAATACACCCCACAGTTTGGGTGGATTATTTGATAGGAGAATGGTTGTTTTGCGGACTTTAAGTAGGATATAGGCAATGGCTAATTCTAGTCCTTATGTGTCTGCTAATGGCAAATAAATATAGCTCATCACTATTTACAGACAGCCCTGGGCTTTTCTTCTTTTTCAATATGTTAAGTGAAGGTTTGTCATCTTATAAATCTGAAGTTTTGTTAAAGGATCAGTTCGTTTCATTTTGCCATAGTAACCACAGATAGAATTGGAAGACTTCCATGTTTGGAATAACAACTGGAATTTAGTCATCAGTCTCTACAGTGCTGTAAAATAATAGAATATGTTTAGATTTTAATTCCAAGTTTGAAAGTATACACCCTACAAAATGGGAAACATTTTGTACATACTTGTTTTTCAGTGTAATTGGCTTAATTGTCATTCTCAAAAAATGTTTAACTTCGTATCTCCTGAAGCTATATACCCAATGCTTTAGTTGCTGTTTTTCTCTCTTGAGGGTGGAGGGGGATACAAAGTTTGAAATACTGTGTTAACCGAGTATATTTGTTTGCATTTTTCAGAAGACGGCCAGTATTTTCTAAAGGTTCTCATACCTAGTTATGCTGCTGGATCTATAATTGGGAAGGGAGGACAGACAATTGTTCAGTTGCAAAAAGAAACTGGAGCCACCATCAAGCTGTCTAAGTCCAAAGATTTTTACCCAGGTAGGTGCAATGGTGAAAAGATTGTTTGATGAGCCCCCCCCCCCCCACCACCACCCCCAGGAAAGAAAGATCTACTGTGTTGTGTGCTGTCTTGCGAGAAATTTCAACAATACTGGAGACTTTTTTAGATATTGCATTATTAGAGTATATTGTGGAAAAATTTTCAGAATATTTCTATTGTTGATTATGCCTTTTTTCTATAACTGTTGTACTGTGTTTGTGAATTAGACCAATTGCAGATGATTTGGGTATTTCTGAATAATTCTTATGAGTAAAAAAACTAAAAAATTTATAGATAGAAACTTGGACAGCTGGCATCAGGAAATAGGGTTCTTCTGAAGTTTTCAGACATCATTGTAATGACAATTAGCTTAGAGTGAATTCAGAAGAGGGGGGTAGGGAGGCTTCTTAAAGAATGGACCATTTACTTCTGAATCCATTATGTACCTCTTTCTGCTTCATTGCTTTGTTTGTTGGCCTTGGAGTGAAGTAAAGAGGACAAGTGCTGCCTCTTCAGATTTTTAAATATTGTGGTTTTAATGCAAGTGAGATAAGGAAATTTATATTGTTACGCAAGAAGTAAAATAATGCTTCAGAATTCATGTTAACTTAAGAGCTAAATTTGATTAAATATGTTGACAGTTAGTGTAGTACAGTAACCTACTGGAATATGGCAAGTGTCCTAGGTGGTATAAATTTTTTGTTTTTTACTTTCAAGTATGTCCTTTTAAGTGTTAAATAGTTCTGAATATCCACCTTTTTCTATGTTTTTTCCTTATAATTTGCTAATCAATTTATATATTTTAAGTTTAAGGGAAAAGTCTCCATAATTGAATAGTATATTTCCTAGATAAAACATTATTAGCTGATTTGCTTTTATTTAAATCTAGCTTTCTGTGATATTTTTAAAAGTTATTTTATCTTTATAGCTATCAAAAACGTTAATTCAGTGCTGAGGGAACCAATACTGCTTTAATTTTTTTCTTCCTGGTGGAAAAGAAAAGCTGATTTGCTTTCAGTGATCTAATTCAGTAAGAGTTCTTTAATACAGCAAAGACATCTGGCATGAATGTAAGCAGAACATTTGGAGGACTTCTTTTTCATGGCCAATCACTTGGTGGTAGAAATGGACCATTATACTGGATAGAAGGTTTTAGAATGGTTGAAACTATCATTTAGTTTTATAAATTAAATGTAGTATTTTTGGTAAACATTAAAGTTATTAAACTAAAATGTAATATATTAGACACGATGTTCCTCTAAAGTTTCCTATGAGTGTAATTTAGCAGATGGCTTTTCTTGTCTCTGAAACTTTCCTTATGCATTAAGAAAGTTTGCTAACATATTCACATTCATATGTTTAAAAGGTGTATTGTGATTAAAAAAATCAATGTAGAATTGTGAAAACCCTTAGTACAAATAAAAGCACTCAAAAGAGCTTGATTGCAGAATTAATAACGTGATAGTTCTAGGAAAAGAGCTGCAATGGTAAATTAAATTCACTGTCAATAGATGAAAATGAAATAGCTTTTTTGCATTATGCATGAGGTGGTATCAGATGTGCAAGGATGTTACAGAAAATTGGTGTTTATCAAGGATATTCCAAATAGTAAATTAAATGCCTTTTCGTTTGAATATAGCTTATTTTCAGTGGGTTGAAAAGGGTACACTGAGAATTAGATCTTTTGTTTTTAGTCCACTTAGTTGTACATTTTTTGCTTATTACATTGAAATTGATTATTTTATTTGTAATTCTGAGGCATGTTATTCGTATGGAGCAAGAATATCTGTTGGAAAAAAGTGGAAAGCTGGAATGCACTGAATAAAAATTTGTGTGTGTAGTGACGTAACCTGATCAAATGTGAGTTGAAATGTCGGATAAAAGAAGGCTTATGCTTTGCCGGTAACAGGTGGAAACAAATCACACAGTGTGGGATCAATTATAAGGATAAAATAAAGCCTTGTAGTTTTTAAGAAGCTTTAAGAATTCTGAACATTTTGTATTAAAATATAATTTTAACTAGATTATTACCTGTTTGGACACATAATCTCTCTGCTTCAGATAGACTTTAATTTTAATAGTCTTTCTCTTCACACTTGACCACAAGTCTGCAGAATAATTTAAGATACCGGTATTCTTCAACATAGCCTCTGAGCTTTTTTCAATTTCTCTTACTCAGATGTACATAAGGGATACTTACCTTGCATATCTCAGATGAGCTAAATTATAAAGCTGTGATCATATCACGAAGCTATAAAGAATTTCTTATAGTATTAATGCAATCATTTAGAAGCCCATTTTTGTATCTTTCATAAATATATGAAATTCTTAAAGCTATATTTGTGTATTCATAACTGTCATAACCTACTAGAATCAATATGCCTGTTGTTTGTTTCATGAAGCCCTTTTCTGTTTCTCATTTGGTAAGAGAGCATATTTGGGGAAAACTATACTTTAGTTGTATAACCTAATGGATTTTCTCAAATTACTCAAGTTTTAAAATGGAATGTAATTTTGTTTGTAAGGTTTAGTTAAAATACTAGTGAATCAGAAACTTTCTTGAGGATGTATTATAACACAGAATACAGACACACTTTGGTGACATTTTAATACATTTTAATTCAAATGATAGGTACTTTTAAAAATTATAGCCAATATAATTTCCTCATAAAAACAAATCTTTTTCTTTTTTCGTTTTAAAAAATCTTAACCCTGGCTTTATGAGTAATTTTTAAAATTGTGGTTGAAATAAAGAAAACATGTTTGTATATTAATTAATTTGAGAATTTGTACAGTTGGATATTGCATTGTGTTTTTCAGTATCATATATTAAATAACAAACTTGAGAAAATTGTATGATGAGGAATTGTAGAATGTATTATTCAATTACTGCAATCAGATAAAATGATCTACAAATAGATCATTATTGCTGTACTACATAATCCATTTATCTATTTGACAAAATCAAATCTTATAGAATACTGACTTAATTCTGGTGGTTTAGGACTATACCTTTTTTTCTTATATAATTAGAGCAAACCAATTTGATTTATTTGTGTATCTTTTTATAACTAGGTTATAGTAAGTTACCTTGCAATAAAAAGCAGATTTCTTAGAGGAATATATTATTGTATGCCTTTTCTGAATGACGATAGTTTATTTTTATTCTTTTATTTGGCATATAAAGATATGTTTAGTTTTTGTCGATAAGCAGATTGATTTTATCTGTTAAAATTATTTAATGGATAGTTCAGGTAGGTAATCCAGAAAACTTACTGAATGCATTATTGGTTGGGAATAATAACAGATGTATACAATAAATATTTTCATGTATTCCTTAGATTTTAGAACATATCATAATATACTTATTTTTATTCTGTTATATGATATTCATTACATCAGTAAACAGAATTCTTCATTGTAGTGTTGTAAGCTATTTGTATATATTTTACACTGTCTTTGTATTTGTGGTTATAAAACTAGGATCACATTTAATAAAAATTATTTCCTTTTATGCTGCTTAATTTAAAATTTGAACTTATTATTTGTACATTCACTATATTTCAATTTTTCATGCTGTCTAGTTTGGGTGCTGCTTTTTAAAACAATCACAAAATCATAAAAAAGCAGAATGTAAGTGAAATGTTTTTATAGGGAAGCAAAGACACAACATTGGTTTTATTTTGATATGAGGAAAATATAGTAGCCAGATTAAACTTTAGAACTGGAATTGTATAAGTATGATAATGTTTTGCAAATCAGAGGAGATAAGGAAGTTAAAATATTATTTCTGTTTACATCATTGAAGAAAGACTATTATGTTGGCAGTACATATGAATGTGAATCTCTTACAGATTCTTAAAGTTGCAGCCTATACTTTAATCTTAGATGCAGAGAGTATTGGACATTTATTGGTATATATTTTAAGGCAAGATTAGTGATAAATAGAACTGTAACAAATGGAGAAAATATAACAGTATGATTTCCAACATTGTTGAGTGGGTTTAATAGGATAGTTGTCATTACACTAGGTTATACCTTTGATTTTAGTATCATTAAAGAGTTGCTGACACATAGTGTTTTTCCTTGAATCTTAAAGTTGTAATGTTTAACACACTACCTATTGTTACGGTTACTTTTATCTTTTATCTCTATATCTTCTGTTGAAGGAGAAACATTATTTTTTACTTAACATTGGTATTTCTGAAAATTTGCTGTATTTTGGCTTAATATCTTTTTATACTTTATTTTCTTATTTTAAGCATTAGGAAATCTTAACATTTAAGGGAACATTACTGGCATAGCACAATCTATATTAACGTTGCAGTTTCCAAAATATATAATTTTATTCTTGTATGTGCAAATGTTTTGTGAGGTTTTTAGAAAGATTAATTAGAACTAAAAATTTTAGCTGTACATTTTATTTGATTCTTTTTTATATCATTCTGATGTTGATATAGTAAGTTAGACATCACTAATTTCTAGTGTTGGTGTTTTCAGGAATCATATATACAATGTCACTTTGAAATTTGCTTTTTGAAGCTTTCTGGGCTTTGGGAAAATAGCTCATTTAAAATTTGTAGCATTGTAATGAAATATCTCTAACAACATTATCTTGCAAATACCACCCCAAAGGATTTCAAGAATTGTTTAAACATAGTGAACACAGTTGGTGATATAGTTCAATACTTACGTATTGAAGATGTTTCATATAACACAGCAAGAGGAAAACTGATCTGTGTCTTGAAAATGCTAAGGAGTATGTGATATCACTAAAAACCTGACCGACAACCATCAATTAAAAAGTTATGTATTTTATAGTTGTATTATTTGGGGTTTTTTTTGCTCTGGCTTAAGAGATTAATTTTTTAAAAAGTTATTAAATGACACAAATTCCATTTATTGATTACATATTATGCCACTTGTTAACTAAATTTCAGCACCTAATAAACATTTTTAACCATAGAGTTTTTAACCATAGAATCTTAGTTGTGTCCAG